GGGGGATAGAGACGGGGAGATAGCGAGAAAACGAAAGTGAAACAACGAAGTAGTAGTAGTGGTGAGATAGACGTAAATGGAGTGGTTAACAAATCAGGGTACGTAGACAGATAGATGTACGTGATGTGAAGTGATGCGCTGTTAAAGATTAGTTATTGTCTGAAAAGTGTGTGCGCACACATTTGGCATAGCATGTTCCACACCAGTACGTCGGCAGACGACTGACCGAGGATACCTCGCTATGCTCCTCTGTTCTAGTTGTTAAGAAAAGTTTTGGTTGCTACTCTCTTCATTAGAAACCCCGAACTTGTTTATCGTTGGGGCGATTTTAACCATCATATGTCGCGTCTCCGCGGATTGCCGGTGCCGATTGAAAGGCAAGTCAAGAATTGCTCGGCCTAAAAGTCCCGTGACACTTCAAGCCTGCGGTGCGTCTTCGATGGCCTTCCACACCGGAATCTTCCAGTCCGCCCTCCGATCGATGGCCGGTCTCCAGTCCTCAGGTACGAGTGGCCGTATTCTGTCGGCCTCGTGCTTACTCAGGGGCTGCGTGTAGCCCAACGATACGGTAGTTCTGAGTTTCTCACCCGTCTCCTCTCGCTCGCTCACAATTGCCTTCAACACATCCAACTGGTCACCAAATATCTCGCGACACAGCGCCTCCACCGCCTCTGGCGGAGCCATATCCCCTATCCTGTTCCGAATCACTGTCAGCAGTGCCGCCTCCGAAAGCTGCAGACGTTTGTCGTTTAATTCATCTTCACACCGCAACACCATGAGGCGGTCCCATAACCGGAACCAGTTGTAGTCCTGATCAAACCGCCACACTTCCGTCGGTATTGGCTTCGAGTAGGGCGTACCTGTGACGGGGGAGCACCTCAGCTCATGCTCAAACGCCGTCTTCGGCCCCAACGCCAAAACCTTTACGCAGGCCGGACCCACCCACAACAACCCTGTCTGCGCCACACTTTGAGTCAGCTTCGGTCGTAAGCCCCCGGCGCATATCAACGACAACAGCTCACCCCACCGCACGCCCCTCACTTCACTCCCCAACGAACGCATTTCCTACCACCAAAAAAAAAAATACACACTCGCCGCAAATTGTCCCCCGCGGACCGTTGTATCGCGTCAGGAGTGTGTGTCGCCATGTTGCCCTCCCAAAATACCATGGCAGAACGCCAAAGACCATGAAGCAGATCGATCGAACCTGGACCAAGACGCTGCTAGATCAAGGCAAAGAACTACCGAGCAACCCTAACTTTACACTACCGTTACGGATAGTTAAAGATCGTGTAACCCATGACTGTAGACCACTATTATTTATTACTACTGATGGTCGCTTTCCCAACACCCAAAGCGCTTTCCCAAAGTTGCTGGCCGCTGGTTACACGGGCCCAGAGGCTCAGGGTGCTTATATGCTAATCAAAAAGCCCAACTTAAAGACTACCTAAGAACGGCTAGAACTGAGTTACACGCTCGATCCCTACGACCAACGTGGCGGGAGTGACCAACGTGGCGGGAGTGACCAACGTGGCGGGAGTGACCAACGTGGCGGGAGTGACCAACGTGGCGGGAGTGACCAACGTGGCGTCTCTGGGCCATTGAGCGACGAGGATGCGGAGCATGGGTCATTGAGAACTACCACTAGGTCTCCTTGTTTGAGGTCGTTTGGACTATCTTTTTCCAGGGGGCGCCCCCTGAGCATTACCTCCGTCATTCGCTCTCGGAGCCGCGTGTTGTGATTCTCTCTGCGCTCCTCCTCCGTCATTGACGGTGTCATCTCTTGCAGGGCGTCGAGCGCTGGGGGTTTACCGAACAACGCCTCGTACGGTGAGGTACCTATCGCTGAGTACGGCGTGATATTGTGGAGGCGGGTGGCTGAGTCCAGCATCTTCCCTACTGCCCTTCGTGCCACATTGCGTGCAGCATATTCTTTAGCTCGACGTGCGAGGCCTCAGTGATGCCGTTCCTCTGGGGACGGTACGGGGCGGTTACCAGATGTGGGCAACCTAGATGTTTGGTCACCGTCGTGTGGAATGCGCCCTTGAAGATGGAGCCGCCGTCGGTGAGCACCGCTCTCGGCGTTCCAAACGCCACTACCCAGTAGTGGTAGAATGTGCGGAGGGTCTGGGCTGCCTCGAGGCTCGGGACTGCCCTCGCTAGCATGTACCGTGTTGCGTGATCGATTATCACAAGGACGTTCCAGCTCACGCCGCCTACGTGGACGGGGCCGACGTGGTCGAGCGATACGACGTCCATTGCGGCTGCCTGGCCAAGACTGCCGGTTGGAACTTGAAGTTGGTGGACGGGCGGTCTCTTCAACCGTGCGCAGATTAATCATTCGCGGATCATTCTCTCGACGTTTTGAGAGCATCCGGGCCAGTGGTACAGTGACTGGATGCGCTTCCGTGTTTTCCCTACTCCTAGGTGCCCACTCGGTCCGTAGTGGAACGCGATTACCAACCGTGTGCGTAGCTTACTGGGGACGAAGATTCTGCCGGTCCTAATATGTATCCACCACAGTCCGTCGTAGTGGAGGCCGGTGATGTTGGGGTTCCCTTCCTCCTTGTAAG